TGCAGGAGTGTCGTCGAAGTTGCATCGAAGCAGCAGGATGTTCGTACAGGGTGTGGGAACGCTATTCCGGGTATGCCAGTGACTTTGTATGCGAATGGTACCTCAGTAAAATTGGTATATGTGCAAGATTTGTTTTCTACATTGCTCCTATTTTAATAGCTCTAGAAGTGTTTTGAGTACACACCATTTTTCTCCGACGTCCCTCAATTACACATCATTTATTAGTTTCTTATCTGTCCTTATCCTATTGCACCGTTAGCCCAAAGAATAACGCAAGGAGGGGAATTTAATAGAAAGTTGATATATGTGCAAAAAGCTTCATTCACGTTTGAAGTGGGTTCCGGCAAGGTCCTAGTAAAACAAAGATAACAAATTGGACTGTTTACATTTTAAAATTTAATTAAAAATTATCTTGAGCTATTAAAAATATGTTTGTATTAAATATCAAAAATGCCACGAGCAACTATGGCTGACTGTGGCATTAAAGTTGGTGCTATTGCTAAAACAATAAATAGGCATCGAAACACTGTAGGAAACTTTTTAAAGTCACCCCAAAAATATGCCGAAAACAATCACAAAGGTGCAATTCCAAAGATTGATAACCGCACTAAGCGGCACATTAGAGCTTTGGCAACTGCCAAAAATTTGAGCTGTGCCAAAATTAAGGCACAATTGAAGTTACCAATATGTAGGCAACGGGTGTAACAAATTTGCCGAAAAGATTTGCATCTCACATTCGAAGCAAAGGTCCCGAAACCTAAGCTATTGCGGCGGCAATAAAATGTCTCGACTAGCCTATTAGGAGAAATTTAAATTTTTGACCACCGAATTCCAAAATGTCATCTTCAGTGATGAACAAAAATTTAATTTAGATGGCCAAGATGGAAATCAAAAGTATTGGCGAGACCCCAGGCATCCCAGACAAACTTGCCACAGACGCAACCATGGTGGTGGTTCCCTTATGGTATGGGCTGCCTTTAGTTACTTCGAGAAATCGCCTATATGCTTTGTGCCATGTCGCATGAGCGCGGAAACGTATACTAATCTCTTGGAAAGTAAGCTAGTACCATTTTCCGAAGAGTTTTATACCGGACTTTTTTTCTTTCAACAGGATAACGCTCCTATACACGTAGCGCGGTATACGAAGACGTTTCTGGAAAGTAAATCAATCGATTTGATGCAGTGGCCAGCTTTAAGTCCGGACTTAAATCCGATCGAGGATCTTTGGGGCATCCTGTCAGCAAAACTTTTCGAAGGTGGAAGGAAATTAAGGATTAAGGATTTAAAGGCGGCCATTGTTAATGAATGGGCTCCATTGATATAGCTGTTCTCTAAAACTTAGCAAATTCAATGCTGAAGTGATTGAAATTATTAGATCAGCAAAAAGGAGACACGATACTATATTAATTAAAAAGTTAACTTATATTACAAAGTTATATAATATTTTTTTTGTCACTTAAATAGTTTTGCACATATATCAATTTTCTATGAATAATAGTTTTAAGTTCCTATATAAATATCAAACAATGATCTATTAAATATATGTGAAGTTCATTCAATTTGTACATTTACTACCTACATATATAAAATGAATAAAAAAAATCTAACATGAAGGAGTTAGAAAAAAATCAAGAAAAACACGTTACACATTTATCAATTTTACTGAGGTAGACAAGAGATAAAACGAAGATGGTAGATTCATCGACGGCTGATCTCTAACCTTGAGCAGTGTTATACTGGACAGCGAAATACACCGAGAGCGATGTGGAGCCTAATAAAATGGAAGACAAAGACCCTTCAACGATCAGACATTGAAAACCAGCCATTACAAGAATATTTCCGGTTTTCGGAGAGTACGCTCAGGCAGAGCACTAGCAGACGAATTTGTGATTTATCTTGACGGGAAAACTATTGGCATAGAAGAATAATCTTTCAAATAATCTATACATATGGGGTTTTAAAGCTGGATGAACGTGATAAAATGATTAAAGAGAACGACCGAGTCATATTCTCTTGCGGCAGTTATAATACGAAGCTAATCGTAAAAAAATTTCACCGCAGGCGCGAATCAAAACTCGTGGACAAACGCCCATCGGATGAGCTGCTGAGAGCCACTTTGATGGAGACGGAGGCGATTTTCAACTCGCGACACATTACAATCCAATGCAAAACGAAAACGAAGAGTCTCTGACACCAAAACATTTTCTGCTTGAAAGCTCAACTGGTAAACAACCGACAATTTACCCTTTACCTGTAGAAGTGCAGCTCAAGAAGAACTTGATGGAATCTTGAAGCGATAGCTTCAGCCACATGCAGAAGGGGATATTTTGTATGTTTGTGACTCCGGACAGCCACGTAGCCAGTGGCCGAAAGGACGGTGCGGGCGCTGCGCTTAGGACACAGTATGGCGTGAATACAAGGCCCGCAGCGAAATTGGCACCGAGGGTATCATTCTATCTTTCGAGGGAAATTTGGTAGATTCAAGGCGGAAAATACAAGTCGAACATTCGGATCGCAGATCGGAACATGCAAATGCATATGTGGACTAAAGGTCTGCATGAGCTATTCAACGACAAAAAACGACATTCAAATGCACAACCTTGAAAATGAATTGAGTGAGATAGAATGCTGAGACGAAAATAAATGAGTGAGTGCGACTGTGTAGGTCTCACTCGCACAACATTCGGGGGATGAAAACCGAATTGAATGAGTTGGAGTTACAGTTCGCATTCGAATTGTTTCGAATGCATTCTGGAATGTACCATACATACATATTTGCCTGTTTTTTAGACGCTGATAATAAAATATTTCAAAAGTAAAAGCAAGTCATTGTTTTTTTTCAGAAATATTCATTATCATGTTGTATATTTTATTTTACATATTTTACTTATAACAAGAAAGCAAAGCTAACTTCGGGCGGAGCCTAAGTTGATATACCCTTACAGTTAAAGCCGGATATACATATATCGCAAACATCGGATATAGTTGGCCGATCCTTATTACATCATAATAAATGATGATTATATGATTACTTTTATGATTACATCATAATAAAACAAATTAATAACAATAAAAAATCTAAACAAGAAAGGAAAGCTAACTTCGGGCGGAGCCGAAGTTGATATACCCTTGCAGTTAAAACCGATGGCCGATCCTTATGAGAATATGATAATATAACCCAATTTATTATAATATAAAATCTAAAAAAAAATCACAAACTTCTATCTTCAAAAATACCAAAGTTCGTATTTCTACCAAAAACCATTTCCGATCGTTCAGTTATATGGCAGCTATAGGATATAGTCGGCCGATCCTTATAAAATTTGGCATGTCGTAATGTTTTGCCAAAAAAAGCTCACGTCAAATTTTAACTCTCTAACTCTAAAAACACCAAAGTTATACCATTTCCGATTAATCAGTTATATGTCAGCTATAGGATATAGTCGACCGATCCCGGTCGTTCCGACTTATATACTGCGTGCAAAGGAAAGAAGGGTGTGTGCAAAGTTTCAAGTCGATAGCTTTAAAACTGAGAGACTAGTTCGCGTCGAAACAGACAGACAAACGGACAGACGGACATGCTTATATCAACTCAGAAGGTGATCCTGATCAAGAATATATATACTTTATAGGGTCGGAGATGTCTCCTTCACTGCGTTGCACACTTTTGGACAAAATTATAATACCCTCTGCAAGGGTATAAAAATGTAAAAATATTTTCAATATTTATTAATAAATAATTTTCCAACACAATTTTGCGCAAAAAAAATTTTGTAAAATAATTTAATTTTGAAAAACTAATTTCTAAAGTAAACTAAACTAAAAACACTAAGAAAATAATAATAACAGTTCAAAACCATAAGTTCAAAATACTTTCATTATAATTCACCATTCGGTCAATTCCCTCATTATGAAAGAAGCGTTTTGCTCAACAGAAGAAAATAAATGAATGCATAGAGCAGTGGTGCCCAAGCTCTGCATACGGAAGAGCAAACTCCCATACCAATGCAAAAAATCACCAATACATTTGTGAATTTTTTTCCCATCCATGTGGCTGCACTGAAAAATAAAGTTATAGTAACATTCACAAGGGGTTTAAAAATATCAATATAATAAAAAATACATTTTATTACAGTAATTAAAAAAAGGCCCTACCTAACAGCTTATTATTATACTATGACAAATATGCAGAGCTTCTTAGTTAAAAAAAATGTTCTGCGAAGAACAAATTCATCGTTACAGGTCGACCATTCTCGCAGAAACAAAAACAAGAATGAATTTCTTGCTGTGAAAAGTTTTCGGCTTTCGGCACAAAAATTCTCACACAAATGTATTGGTGATTTTTTGCATTGGTATGGGAGTTTGCTCTTCCGTATGCAGAGCTTGGGCACCACTGATTTAAAGTTATGGACTTGAAACTTTGCACCCACCCTTCTTTTCTTTGCATGCAGTATATAAGTCGAAACGGCCGAGATCGGCCGACTATTTCCAATATCTGCCATTTAACTGATTGATTCGCATATCGCATGAGTGCTATTTTTGACAACATAATACGACATACCAAATTTTATAAGAATTGGTTAACTTTATCCAAAGTATAGCTGCCATATAACTGAACAATCGGAAAAGACCCAACTTTCGTGTTTTTGAAGATGGAAAGTTGAAACTTTGTACAGATTTTGTATTTTGTACTTTTTTTGGTTAGTTGATCCGATCTACGAAATTTTACTATATATATAACTATATACAACTGTCGACTATATCCTATAGCTGCCATATAACTGAACGATCGGAAATAGTGTCCGGTAGAAATACCAACTTTGGTATTTTTGAAGATAAAAGCTTTGGAATTTTTTTTAGCTTTATTGTAATAAATTGGTTATACATATATTGATATTTTCCTAAGGATGGACCAACTATATCTAATGTTTTCGGTTTTCACTGCAAGGGTATATCAACTTCGGCTCCGCCCGAAGTTTGCTTTCCTTTCATTTTTCCCATTTGCATCTCTTATAGCGTCTCATTTTTACCTTTTTTATGCAGAGGACATGGCATGGGGTGTATTTGTAAAGAATAAATAGAATAACTGTATTTATTTGTAAATTATTTTATTTCAGAAGACACACTTGAGTCAAAGAATAAATGTATTTATTTCTAAATAAATAAATGTATTATATTCACGACAGTATTTTTTCATTCAGAAAGAAACGAATTTTTTTCAGTTTCAAGTGGACACTTAAGATCGATGGAAGTATTTATTTCAATGGAACTGCGAAACTGGGAACTGCAAAAAACATATTCAGGCATGCTCCGATTTTCACTTTCGGTGCTCCCGTTTTCACTTTCTCAAGATTTTTCGAATTCCAAAACGAAAAAATTTGTCGTGCCTAAATGAAAAGTAAATGCCTTTTTCTATATTAAATCGGATCTTATTTGCAAAAGGAAAAAAGTAGTTGACTTGTTGGTTTATTGTCGTTCGTTTAAGACCTCTAGAAGATCAATTAGGCTTGTAGTTATTTTTACGAGTAATTTCTGACCCCACCTCAAATTTGGATATCAAATTTTGCCGTCGGCAACAACAATTTTCGTTTTGGTGAGCGACCGATAAGTCCGACACCATAAGTTATCGCCTAAGCTGCCATACTTTTGATAGAATGAAAAAGCATGTTAAAAATACTTGTATAATCAAACGGATGGCGATAAATGTGTTGACGTTGGATGAAATATGTTTTTAAAAATTAATTAATTTAATTTAATTTAATTTAGTTATGGTATGTGCTAAAATGTATAAAAAAAATTGTTGAAAACACCGGAATTGAATGAAAATGAAATCCATTGAAAAGGTGTCATAATATGTGGGAAACAAGTGATTGCCTTTGAAAAACTGTTTTTTAAAAATGTGAGTAAAAAAGTTTATTTTTATAAAAAACAAAAATACTAATATATTGCTTGCAGGGGAAAACACAAATCATCGTATCAGGATGAAGTTTCTCTGTATTTTATGCAGGGTAACGAAAGTTTGGCGCGTGGATTCGCCAAAGGCGATCGTGTGGCTGCAGAAGCAAAATGGAGCGAGCTTGTCGGTGCGTTAAACGCAATTGGGCCTCCAATTAAAGATGTTGCTGGATGGAAAAAGGTATGAGTATCCCCAGAATTATGACAAACTAATATATTATAATATTACATTCAAGGTTTGGTGCGATTGGAAGGCCAATATTCGAAAGAAAATTGCCCAAAATAAGGCAGAGTTCAGGGCTACGGGCGGGGGTCCTTACTGCCAGCAACCGCTGACAGCCATGGAGAGGACGTGGCAAAGCTCTGCGGGCTTTTTGACATGGTCGAGGGAGTTGGTGCTGTGGCATATGGAGCACCAACCACCATTATAGTAGAAGAGGTGGCTAAGGAAAAAGCTGAGGAGATAGCCCCAGAGGAGGAGGAACCGAGCCGAAAGCGTCGCCGCACAGCTGCAGAATTTGATTTGCAGAGTCTGTGCATAGCTTAAGTAGAGGGAATAAAGCAAATTAATTTAACAATGACAAAGCATTTCCAAAAAGTGGAAAGTCTTCAACAAGAAGACTTGAATTTAAAAAAGGTGCATTACCAAAAAATGGAAAGTCTTCAACAACAAGACTTAAATTTAAAAAAGGAGCTACTTTCTAAGTTAGAACAAATTAAAAAAAAAAAAGAATAAATAGATTTTAATAACTGCAATGAATAATTTGTTTATTTATTTTGTTATATTGGCAGAGATAGTGCAATTTCGTCGCGTACAGATGGTCCGTCATCATTTCCTTCAATGTCGTTATCATTTATAGCCTGTTTAATATCCTCCAATTGAAAGTCGTCACCTATTGACAAATTCCGTCTTCTACATATGTTGTGCAAAGCACAGCATACGTTAATTATTTGGCAGCAAAAAATGGGCTGATAATTTAAGCATCGTTGTAAACAACGGAAACGGCTTTTAAGAATACAAATTGTTTGTTCTATTATGTTTCTGGCTGCAGCATGTCTTAAGAGGAGGGTAAGGTATTAAATTTTTTTTTTTCGTTTTTTTTTATTTTTAAATTGAATGCATAATATCTGAGGAATATTGTGTCAAAATTTCAAGTCAATTAAAGCAAAATTGACGAAGTTATTAGTTATTGACGAAGTTGCTTATAAACGTTTTACACTGGATTTTTTTGTGTTTAAAACTTTAAAGCGTTTTTCCAGCACCGAGTTATGAGGGGCACCACAACTCACGTTTTTAAAGTCGGTGCCCCTCATAACTTCAAAACTACTGCACCGATCCTTTTGAAATTTTAAACACTATTTCTGTACATATTTTAAACACTATTTTTGTACATATTTTATTTAACGCTGTCGAGTTTTTTTTTTTTTTGTTCATAATTTTGATTTTGCAATGACAAATTAACCGATTTTTTCCCAAAAAATTGAGTTTTTCACTTCAAAGTCTTCGAAAAAAAATAAAAAAATTGCAATTTTCAAAAAACCTTCACAGCGTTACCTGGGGCGAACTGTTATCTAACGAATGAATTTTCATTTTTTGATTACAAATGATCCAGCACCGAGTTATGAGGGGCACCGAAATTCAACTTTTTTTGGCGAAACGTCCAGACAATTGCTACCATTGCCATATTTTTAAATATTTTTTTGTAAAAATTTGATAAAACATTCTTCTAATGTCATACTTTAATATACCGTTGGTAAAATCTTAACGTAACTATAACCAATTTAGACATTATACTTACAACCATGGCGTTCATGCTGTAATAGCCCTTTCTGTTAAATAAAAAAGAGGCATTATTTACAGGTTTCTCTATTTTTATATGAGTTCAATATTTTATGTTTATTTCCAATAAACATAAATTAGAGGCGAGATTTTGAATGTTGTAAATGTGACTTACCGGTCGTCAGACATATTAAAAACACATGTATTCAGGGCCGTAGCTAGAGCCTCGGAGGCCCTGGGGCAACAAGTAAATTTGGGGCCCCCTATACGGAAGTCTTTTGCCCCGGCGGGGCCCCTTCCCTTCGGGGGCCCTGGGGCACCGCCCCACCTGCCCCATGCTAGCTACGGCCCTGGATGGGGACCAAACTTCAGTAAAAGAGTTCAGCAGTTAGTATCTACAACCCCTGTAAGTGTATACGAGTTAGAAAACCTTTATATGAACACATTTAACTGTTATGCCTCACCATTGTTTTTCTGCACTGCAACCCAAAAAGGAATAGTACTAACAACCATTCTTGATCAAGTTAGATCAAGAATAGATGACCATCCCATCTTAGGTAAAACAATTGTCATGATGGTTTCTAAGAAATAATTTATGTACGCACTGGGGATCTCGACTTGTGACTCCTAAGGGAAGGCAGTTGTACAATGCAATAATAAAAGCAAGCAACGAGCTGCAACTGCGTGTCAACTGGGACACCTACATATTGGCCAACAGATCCTAGAAAACTGTCAGACTTGATAGATTTTGCAGTCACAAAAAACATTCCTCGCAACCTGATAAGTGCCAACTCCGTACCAGATCTATCGTCTGATCACTCGCCTGTACTTCTTCATCTAAATCTACATCCAGTTGCGGTAGATAAACCATTTAGACTAACAACGAATAAAACCAATCGGCTTAAGCACAAAAAATATATAAGTTCGCACATTGAGTTGAATCCACGTTTGAATGACGAAGCTGATATCACCTTATCCACAAACACTCTTGAATCCGTCTGGGTCACAGCAGCTCGCGTATCAACTCCACAAACGCAAAAAACATCGTACAAAAATAGATACACGAACGTTAAAATAGAGCAGCTCGTTCTAGCAAAGCGACGCTCACGGCGGGAATGGCAATCCAACAGATCACCATCCGCAAAACAAAGGTTAAAAGACGCTACAAAGAGGCTCTCAGCTGCACTTCGTCATGAAGAAGAAAGGTCCCAAAAACATTACATAGAACAGTTATCCCCAAGTTCCCACTTTGGAGACCACACTCATCTCTCTGCGCACCAATCGAATCTGCAATGCCAATAAGGACATCCACAGGCAACTGGGCTCAAAGCGACGAAGAAAGAGCCGTAAGTTTTGCAGAGCATCTTCAAAATGTATTTCAGCCCAACACATCATCAAACGGGATCTCACTGCCAGCAACATCAGATATCGACATATCAACGTATGAACCTATTGTATTTAGGCCACATGAGTTACTCAAAATCATAAACGAACTCAACCCAAAAAAATCTCCAGGATGCAGATCGAATATCACCAAAAATGATTATTGAACTTCCTTTCTGTGCTGTTCGAGCTATTTGCCAGCTCTTCAATGCAATAACGAGACACGGACACTTTCCAGAGAGATCGAAAAAGTCGATCATTATAATGATACCAAAACCTGGAAAAGACCGCACGATCGCTTCATCATATAGACCAATTATTTTACTAACGTGTCTATCAAAACTCTTTTAAAAATGCTTCTTGGCACACATTACCCTATATCTCAGAACACACAGCAAAATCCCTTTTCATCAATTCGGTTTTCGAGAAAAACACGGAACCATTGAGCAAGTCAACCGCATAACCTCAGAAATCCGAAATACATTCTAACAATGGGAGTACTGCACTGCGATATTTCTGGACGTATCCCAAGCTTTCGACAGAGTATGGTTAGAAGGTCTAATGCACAAAATTATAGAAATGCTCCCAACCAACACTCAAAAACTTCTGAAGTCATACCTATACAACAGGAAATTCTCAGTAAGATGTTATTCAGCCATGTCCGATGACTACATCATTAGAGCCGGAGTTTCTCAAGGCAGCGTGCTTGGAACATCACTCTACCTTATCTACACTGCGGACATCCCAACGAGCAGGAATCTAACCACATCCACTTTTGCAGATGACACAGCGATCCTAAGCCGCGCGAGATGCCCCAAGCAAGCAACGGCGCAACTTGCTATACACCTGGTGGCGGTGGAGAAATGGCTATCCGACTGGCGAATCAAAGTTAACGAACAAAAATGCAAACACGTAACGTTCACTCTTATCAAGCAAGACTGCCCTCCACTTATTCTTAACAACACAGTGGTTCCGATATCAAATGCAGTAACATATCTTGGCGTACACCTCGATAGACGGCTTACCTGGCGCAGCCACATTGAAGCCAAAAGAACGCATTTAAAGCTCAAACCCAACAGCCTCCACTGGCTTATCAATAGCCGTTCGCCCCTTAGCTTGGACTACAAAGTACTCCTATATAACACCGTCTTGAAACCAATCTGGATGTACGGCTCCCAGTTGTGGGGAAATTCCAGTAACAGCAGTGTGGATATAATGCAACGAACTCAATAAAAAATTCTCAGAACCATCACCGGGGCCCCGTGGTACGTTCGGAATAAAAACATTCACAGGGACCTTCACATACCAAGGACCTTCACGTCAGAGAAGAGATAGCACAAATCAAAACAAAGTACTACAACAGGCTATCAGTACATCCAAATCATCTCGCGAGAGCCCTCACGCGAGTTTTCAGCAGTTCTCGTCTTCGCTGCAACGACCTCCCAATCCAGCGCTATATATTATGACCACGTAGTCTCTATTCAGTTCAAAACAAACTGTAAAATATTGTATTATTTTAAGGTTTGCAACCTTATTGTAAGACTCATAAAGAGTGATCCAATAAAAACAACCTAAGCTTAAAAAAAAAACAAGAAAGAAAAGCTAACTTCGGGCGGAGCCGAAGTTGATATACCCTTGCAGCTAAAACCGGATATATATCGCAAACATCGGATATAGTTGGCCGATCCTTATGAGAATATGACAATATAACCCAATTTATGATAATACAAAATTTAAAACAAGTCCCAAACTTCTATCTTTAACAATACCAAAGTTGGTATTTCTACCAAAAACCATTTCTGATCGTTTAGTTATATGGCAGCTATAGGATATAGTCGGCTGATCCTAATGAAATTTGGTAGGTTGGATCAACTGACCAAAAATAGAATATGTACTAAGTTTCAGCTTTCTATCTTCAAAAAGACGAAAGTTGGGTAATTTTCGATCGTTCAGTTGTATGGGAGCTATAGGCAAATTTGGTATGTCGAAATGTTTTGCCAAAAATAGCTCTTGTGTTAAATTTGAGCTCTCTAACTCTAAAAACACCGAAGTTATACCATTTCCGATCAATCAGTTATATGACAGCTATAGGATATAGTCGGCCGATCCGGGCCGTTCCGACTTATATACTGCGTGCAAAGAAAAAAAGGGTGTGTGCAAAGTTTCAAGACGATAGCTTTAAAACTGAGAGACTAGTTTGCGTAGAAACAGACAGACGGACAGACGGACAGACGGACATGCTCATATCAACTCAGGAGGTGATCCTGATCAAGAATATATATACTTTATAGGGTCGGAGATGTCTCCTTCACTGCGTTGCACACTTTTGGACAAAATTATAATACCCTCTGCAAGGGTATAACAAGAAAGCAAAGCTAACTTCGGGCGGAGCCGAAGTTGATATACCCTTGCAGCTAAAACCGGATATATATCGCCAACATCGGATATAGTTGGCCGATCCTTATGGGAATATGAATATATAATCCAATTTATTACAATACAAAATCTAAAAAAAGT